AACTTTATCGTGAACTTTTCACGATAAAGTTCACGATATCGTGAATTTTATCGCCAATTTTTCACGACGAAATTGACGATATCGTGAATTTCGTGAATTTCATCGTGAAAAATTGGCGATAAAATTCACGATATCGTGAACTTTATCGTGAAAAGTTCACGATTTAGTCGATTCGCGATGTCCCTTCAGAGCCTGCCCGACAGCGAAGAAATATGTGCTCTTCAAGGTATTGGTTTAGCAATCCTCTTTCTGTTGCATATCAAAATCAAAACTGTCCAATGACAAGACATTTTCATGTAAAAGTAAAAAAAAAAAAATACTGGTAGTGGTAGGGGGGAGGAGGGTCTAGATCTACAACTGCAAATGTGATTTCCACCATTTTCAATTGGCAAATAAAGACTTGTCTTGCTTCAACATGAATGACGTAAATATTCATATTTTATATTGACGGCGCCGTAAAAACTCAAAACAATATTGCAGGCAATTTTTTTAATGCTGTTTCTGATAAAAAAAACAAATTACCCCAATTGAAGAAACCTCTGATATATACTATTACATGTTGTGTTGGTAAATTTGTTTCTATGGTTTTGCATTATGATTGGTCAATACATGATTGTGTGCATTCAGCTAACGTGAAGTAACAATAAAACCTATGTTGCTCTTTTTTATTTTTCCTCTTAAGCCACGCCATTATTAGTGATTGTGCGCATGCAGCTATTAAACGTGACGTCACCATATGAAATTGCACCATCCAAGTAACTACTTCGTTTTCAATAACTTCAAGTAACAACTTGGATTGGGATATGTAAATTCTAGATGTTCGACTTTGTACAGGTAAATGATTATATTAGTGTTACGGTAGGCCTACTGTTTTCTTGAAATTCAAACATTTTTAACTTTTCATGTTAGTTGTGCACCAGCACCACATAAATGCTTGGGAAATTTCATATTTGCACTCGTTTCAAGCTTCAATTGCCAAGATGCAGTTTACAAGTACATGTACTAGTATATTATAAAAAATGGTGAATAAATCACAATATCTCTGTGGAGTATCTAAATAATAATTATAATATTGGATGATCAATTTTCGCGAAATACGTGAAATATTGTTACTCGCTGAAGAAAAATATTTTCACGTATCATCCATTATTATGTGTATTCAGTTCGTTATCTCCAAAGTAAAGTGCGGTGCACGCCTCTGCGCCCATGAATCCGCCTATGTTCAGATCTCTTTTTATCTACATGTGCATGTATTTTCAAATAAAAATTTCTTATAGTCATTTCTTGCATCTAAATCTTAACACACTGTCAAATTATCTGTTCAAATTTCTACTATTGTTTGCTTTCACTTTTACTACATATTTCTTCTTTATATAACTATTTATGCATACACATACTCCTGTATCTTTTGTATTACTTCTCTGACATTGAAGGATTAGATTACCTTCACGAAAAAAAAAAGTATATGAATGTAAAGCAGTAAATAAAGTGCAAATGAATTCATGTAAAACTGGTGTATAATTTCCTTTATATGTTATGTGTCTGTACATTACACTAGACAAAGTGATGAATGGAAAAAGAGAGAAAGAGAGGTCTTATAAACAAATATCATGAATTTAAAATGAGAAAGAGAGAAAGGGAGAGAGAGAGACAGAGGTCTTAGAAACAAATATGAATTCAAGAAGTGAGAAAGAGAGGGGGTCTTAGAAACAAATATCATGAATTGAGAGCTAGAGAGAGAGAGGTCTTAGAAACAAATATCAAGAAATGAGAAAGAGAGGGGGGGGGTCTTAGAAACAAATATGAAGAGAGAGAGAGAGGCCTTAGAAACAAATATGAAGAGGGGGTTAATGAGAGAGAAAGAAAGAGGGGTCTGAGAAATACATACGAGAGAGAGAGTGGGTCGAGAGAGAGAGGTCTTAGAAAACAAATATGAATAGAGATGGGGGGGGGGGGCGGGGGAGAAATGGGTCTTAGAAAACAAATATGAAGAGAGATGAGGGGGGGGGGAGGTCTTAGAAAACAAATATGAAGGGAGAGGGGTCAAGAGAATTAGAGAAATTAGGTCTTAGAAACAAATGACATGAATTTAAAAAATGAAAGACGTGATCCCACAATAATAGAAAATGGTACGAGTGCAATATTTAAATCACAGTTTATGTATTACATTACCATTACACATATTATGTCGAGTGTAGTCTGTGTATGTGTCGATGTGTGTACACGTGTGTTAGGGGGGGGGGGGGGGTCCGAATCAGCAAATGGTTTGAAAGTAGGCTACACGTCAAAAATTGAAACCCTGAAGAAGGCGGAATTAAACCACAAAAACCATAATATTATTTGGTTTCTCTCTTTCCTTACTTTGATTAATTCCTTCTCTAATTTCTCTCTTTCTTTCAAGTTAGTTTTTGTTTTCTCTCTCTGCTTATGACATTCTTTGTTTCCTCTCTGTTCTTTAATTATTTATTGTTTTTCTCTATTTCCTTCTGTTGTTATTCGTTGTTTTTCTCTCACTCGTACGTCTCGATACAAAAGTACATGTACCGCGTACCGCGACACTGGACATATAGGACGTACGTTGAGCATTGCAGAAGAGCTACGTGCGCGCGCAATATCTTGTCATGGATAGACTTTTCCCAGTCGGTTCCTTGAAATTTATTGGGAAAAGGTCCAGGCCAGGGTGTAAAACGCAAAGTCGCGCCCGGGCATTGGCCTCCCTACTAACAATACGGTCGCTAACTTAACACACGCGCGCGCGAACCCCACCGTCGGTACGGTATGCAATTATATTAGTGCAGCAGTTTACCGTGAATCCTGTGAGAAAGTGTATATAATAAGTCTTTGTGTTTAGGAAAAATACTCCAAAAAAGATAAGAAAACTTTATTTCTCCTTCACTCCCTGCTATTTAATTTCAGCATGGATTTTATTTACTGGATTTTTTTACTTGATCAAAATGTTGATAGCTCTTTTGATAACTTCTTTGGACAATTTATATTGCTGTATGATGAGAATATACCTATATGTAAAAGGGATAGCGGAAATCATAGGAAGATCCCCTAAATGCCATGGATTAGAAGATCGCTATTGAAATCGATCAATGAGAAAAATCCAGCACGATAAGATTTTTGCATATTGAGGGAGAATTAATAGACGATACAATTTCTATCGTTGAAAAGTTCAGTAATTATTTTTGTAGTATTGGTTCCAAATTTGTCGGAGGGTATTCCAAATTGTGATAATTCATTCCATGACTTCTTAAAAAAACCTAACCAGCAAAGTTTGTTTTTAATCCCAACAAATGAAGTAGAAGTACTCAGTATAGTACATTTTTTGAAGATTTGAAAAAGCCCAGGTTGTGATACTATCTCCAACAGTCTAGTTAAAAATGTAGCTGCAGAAATCGTACAGCCATTAGTGCATCTTTTTAATCTGTCAATGACAAATGGCATTGTACCCAGGAATATGAAAGTTGCAAAGGTTGTCCGAATTTTTAAGAAGGGTGACCCAAAACTATTGATGAACTACCAGCCCATTTCCCTATTAACATCTTTCTCTAAAATTCTTGAAAAACTTATCTATGTGAGAACTGTAACGGTTTCTCAATACAAGTAAAATGTTTTCCAACTTTCAATTTGGCTTCCGTGAGAAACATACTACCGTGCACCCATCAGGCGCGTACGCAGACGGGGGAGGGGGGTTTGGGGTTAACCCCCCCCCCCTCAAATTTTGTTAATGTGTGGGTAACAGAGCATAACCCCCCAACCCCTCACTTTTTTTCAAATGTTTAAAAAAAATATATATTATTTTTGTTGTGCCCCCCCCCCCTCCCCCACAAAACCTCGGTCGGCATAATTTTCAAATTTTCAGGACAAAAAAAATAAAAAAATATGTGCTCTTACGTGATTTGTCGTGATTTATTTTTTAACTTAATCCATTCCTCAATTCACTACTGTATAACAACTGCCGACTTACCTTTTCCTTTCCTTTTCTTGCCTGTAGCTAGCTTTCAGTTTAGCTTACAGTGAAAGAGTGTCCATTTTTCTTTCTCCCCCCATCTTTCGATCGAGCTCTCTCTCACCCTTTTTTATTACTCAGTTTAACTATGTTCATAATCATATGGTTATAGTTAACAGTTATTTGTTTTAGTACTTTAGCGTCTTTGGCGAACATTTTGGTATTGATCTATTATATAACCAGGCTGTTTTTTTGTTGTTGTTTTGTCTATACGTTATTGTTGTGAGGGACCTGACCTCTACAAGCTCAGCTTTAATTAGGTCTCCTCGTCTTTTCTTCTTTTTTTTCTCACCTAAATGCATTACATGAACTTGGTCCTTATAAGTGTTCCTTTTATATAATCTACATGTTATAAATTTGTTAAATCGTATTTCATTCATTACATTCAAACTTGAACTTAAACTTAGTGCATGGTCTGAACTCTGAACTAGTAGTAGTTTTGAAGCCAGGAAATCGTTTAATATGATTATGAAGTTTTGGACCTAAAGTATTACCAGTAGCTAAATTCACAATTAAAACGGACATATTTCCAGAGGTACGCTTTGAATAACCATAGACATAATGAATAACTGCTTGATTTACCATCTGATGTATTCTCTCACGAGGAGAACAGTCAGTCTGGTGCGTTCATGCATGCTGTGCCTGGAAATGATACAAATGTTAAATTATACATGCAGTAGTATAAAGTCCAAACTCCAGTATTAAAATAAACATCACGTGTCATAAATCATTAATAAGTGCATATTGTTGTATATATATACATACATGTATATGCATGCAGTAGTATAAAGTCCAAACTCCAGTATTAAAATAAACATCACGTGCCAAAAATCATTAATAAGTGCTTATTGTTGTATATATATACATACATGTATATGCATGCAGTAGTATAAAGTCCAAACTCCAGTATTAAAATAAACATCACGTGCCAAAAATCATTAATAAGTGCATATTGTTGTATTGAATGCCATGCGCATGTTTGGCATTAGAAAAACCTCAATGCTCGTGATTTGTTTCTGCCACTCCAACTCGAGACATCCCCTGCATTAGCTTAGCAAACTAGTAATCAAACGGGTAAGTAACACATATACCCAGACATTGTGTGGCTAGACAGGTTGTGAATCCCGACAGTTGATTTGAAACAGCAATGTCTATGTCTATGCTGGTACTCGTCAAAAGCCTTTTCAGCAACTCAACAAGGATATTGTGGTGTGGTGTCTCTCATATTGGTCACGATTGATTAGTGCATAGTGTGTATATTATACAAGTTGGGCGAGTAAAAACAGTGAAGAAGTTTACAAGCAACATTACATAAATCTTTTAAGACTTATGTTGGATAATGTTATAAATATTCATGATGGTTATAGTGCTATTTAATGAATACTTTCTGGTAAATTCGAAGGCAAAGAGAAGTCTTTATGTTTGTTAAGTGTCCGGACACGTTAACCCCCAACATACATGTACATGTAGCATCATCCTGACATAAGTCAAGCTTATTTTTAAATTCAGTCTTGTCTTAATTTGCAATACTGCATGAGTTAATATGCAGAGTATATATATATATTTTGGAGATTTTCATTTTAAGCCAAATTATCTCTGGCCTCAAATTCTAGAACACATTTTGAATATCAACTGCAGACCCATCTACTTCCAATTTACATATTTATTTTTTCTGTCATCAAAGTAAAATGTATTATTTGATATTTGCAGGAGGAGCACAAGTTTGAGGTTCGACGTTCAAATCTGAGGAAGGCACCATGCTCTCGTACATCGGTGAACGTGTGGTACGTGGACCAGATTGGGAATACAACCATGATGATGGGGGCGATGGCTGTGTCGGAACGGTTATCGGTCAGTATTTATCTTTTGGTTCTTGCGGGCGAGGATTTATGATTTAGGCGAAAATTAATATTTATTTCTAATTCAATCAGTCATCACACCAAAGTATAATTATTTTGAAATCGTAAAATATTTTCTTTTTTGTTGTTGTTGTTGTTATTTTATAAACGGAAAACTGTATGTGATAGAATATCGTAATATTCTTTTGTGGTTGTAGCCATAAAGAAAGAAAGATCTGGGCAATCTCGGTCCAACGAGACAGCAAGGACCAACTGTAAGGTCCAGATGGTGACTGTAGCCTGGGACCTAGCCCACATCGGGGACTACAGGACAGGACTAGATGGAAAGTATGACTTAGCATGTATGGATGTTGGTTTAGGTACGTAAAACCAGTTTCACAATTACTCTGAACTATAAAAGAAAGGAAGTATGATTTAAAAGTTGTCCCTGGCATGCTATCTTCGACCCTGTAAATTTGTTGCACTAGCTGTCACTGTGAATAAGGGCCTGGGCCAGTATTTAATTCCATTCTTTGTTTGAGTTAAACTATTACTTATGGCTTTATGGCAAAATACTTACTGATAAGCATTGTGACATCACACGGTCAATCAAAAACAATGCACAATTTACGAGTCGCATCAAATGCACGCTAATAATTGTGCACAGCTTTATAGAGGAGGCGCGATAGCTCAGTCGGTAGAGCAGTGGTCTCGTAATCCGGTGACCCAGAGAGGACCCAAAGCCGTCGGCCGTCTGGTTGATTACTTACAAGCATTTATGCTTTCTTAGCAGTCAGGTAAAATAACCACTATCACCATCCATTAGGCTTCCAAAATAATTGGCAGGCTAAGTCTGCTACGAAGCCGTATTAAAATTTATGGTAATTATCATAAACTGAATACCAAAGTTGGCTAAGTATTTTATCTAATCTGCAGTGAAAACTGAGTAAAATACTCATATTTCTGATTTCAAGTATGAAATTGAATACCGACTCGGGTATATTAAAGCCTACATCTCAGTGATAAGGAAACATAGCGGTGCTTCTTGATGAAGAAATTTGATGAACAATGTACCTCGAAATTTGTAATACCCTTTGGTTTATAGTCAAGGCAAAAACAAAATATATAATTGCAAAGGGCATGGCTAAAGTAAATGTAAGCTCTGTCCATTTTAGAATATGTTATATGAAATATAAAATATATTATATCTTCTAAACAATTAGAGGCCCTAAAAAAAATTGTTACTTTTTGTTTTACAGTTGTAAAGAGCTTTAATACAGTGTAGATAACGAAAATATTTCTTTTCACCCAAATGTCCAGTTCTACATGTAGATTCAGTTCACTTCCTTGAATTTATTGCATTCCATTAATTATCTTTCACCGTCAGGTCGGCCCCATCCCATATCCATATGTAACGTGTGTTCCCGTAATCCACTAGGGTACAGATGGTTATGTGCAGTATGTGAGACCTTTGACCTGTGTGATGCATGCTATAATAAGAATGAACATCATCTGGACCACCAGTTTGTAAGGTTCTCATCTCCCATCGGATCCAGGTAAGATATCATCGTCATCATTTCCTATTAGTGTCATTTGTTATCATCCGTTTCGACCCCTCACTGTTGGCCAGGATGTTGAAATTTCTCTATGTCCCTATTCCATGTGGTCTGCTTCTTCAGCATTCATATTTTTATACAAGGTTTGAAAGACTGTAAATTGAACATATTCCTGTTCATTGTAAGTTAGATTCAATTCAATTCAATTGAACTTTTATTTTCTTCCATTCAATTTGACAACATATTTGACATCTGTTCAAACAATAATTTAAGAACTTGTACAAGGCACAAATCCTGGTAATCAAAGCTTGTAATGTGTATGTCCGAATACACAACTACATAATATACATTATAAATGGAAGCAAGGAAGAAAGGAATAGGCAAGGAGGAGGAGAGGAAAGAGAGCTTGGAGAAAGAGAAAAGAAGAGGAAAGAAGAGGACTGCAACATAGTAGCAATGGAGTGTATGACATGCACAAACAACACAATGGCAAGATATAGGTGAAGCTATAATGTGGAAATATTTGACTGCATTTATATAGGGTAATACTGGATTTATCACCCTACTTCCGTATGGGTATCGATATAACAGTAATAAAAGAGATTCTTATTAAAGAGTAATATTTTTATAGTTTTAGAGGATACAGATATATTTTTGATATATTTTAACAAGTGTTGTTGAGATTAACAGGATATATGCAAATATATGTATGTATATGTATTTTGTTACAAGTACACAATATATACATATATGTTTACATAATTATACACATACTCATCACCCTAATCGGGTATAGGGCTAATACTTATGCACTGAAATTCAAAATCATACATTTTTTTAAGCTTTCCAAGAGAAGCATAACAGAGATATAGATTTCCTCATAGGTTCAGGTAAATCCTTCCAAAGCTTAGGACCGGTAAACTGGATATTATTTTGAAAAATACATTTACAGTGTTTGGGAATATAGATTTCTTCAGATGATCTGGTACCATACTTATGGATATCTGAAACATGTTGGAATTGGCCGCAGAACTGAGAAGACATTTATATAATAATGTACATTGTTGAAATTTATTATATCTTCAATACGAAGCAACTTAAGAGATTGCGTAGGTTAACTTGAAGACTCTATATAGTCACGTAGTACTCTGGAATTAGTGCATTAACTCTTATCCTGCCATAATGAATACAGCCCATTGCCACAGGGCTAATCCCCATTGTGCCAAGCCACAAATCCCCCTGTGCCGAGTTTATTTTGAGATAATCTGATGCACGCGATGGTACGATCAATAGCACGTGCGAAGCACTCAGCACAGTACAATGAGCATGAACAATAACTGCTATTACGAATGCGAGCATGCATGCATAAAGTAGCAAAGCAGTGGCTCGCTCACGTGAATTAAGCAGCCAATCGATAGCGCGCTCGCTTGTACAAAGCACTATAACGGTAGCGTGCTTGCGGCCTTATGGCAGGATATGAGTTAAGCTGTTAGGTGGTATGGTTGAAGACATATTTATTTTATGAAATTGAGAACAGACATGAATTTCTACCCAACCACCCCACCACACACTGTTATCATATATTTCCGTAATCTGTAGCCCTTACTTATTCTCCCCGATTATTGTTTTTATCATACAATCATAGTTGTTTTTTAACCACGCCTCTCTGTTTCAATGTATACATTAGGTTAAAAAATGAACCGTTAGTTTTCAATATTTTTATTTCTTGTCTGATATACCGTATTAATTAACTTATTACATTGCTCTATGTTAATTATTGAATCAATAAGTATCAGAGTGAGATTTGTGGTTACACCTAGTACGTATTCTTTTGAGAATGCATATGTGGCCCACGACGTTTCGGTAAGTCGTCCCTATCATCTTGAGGATATGCGTAATGTACAAGCTTATGTTCAAGTGGAAATACAAAATGTAAGAATAATGTTTCAGGATTTTTTTCTCTTCTATTCTACCACGTGATACTAATCCTTTCTCACTACTTTCTGTGGTCTTCCATACAGTGTGCGTGCTCCAACACGAGAGAGCAGTCTCAACAACCGTGTAGAAGCTAGAGGATTGTTTGTGGGAGCTAAAGTTTCAAAAGGTCAGTGTGGAATAAAGACATGGAACCTTAAAAGGGGTACCTTGTCTGGAAGCTGAAACCGGCTTTGAAAGTGTGTTGCCCCTTGATGGGCTTATGGTATACATGTACGGTATGTATTACTCGGTTGCCCATTAAGTAATTTGATAAATATTTCTTGCCTGCCTGACCAACAACATGTAGGTATGAACACCTCAACTTGTTTGCCGCCATTGATCATTAATCCTGGATTGCAACATTGCTTGCAGTCTATTATATATGTCATGTATACCGTATGTGCCCCAAAAGTCAACTGTGGCATCCCCCTTTATGATCCATGGTCGATCAAAGCTATAGTGAAGGGTTAAATGAGAGAGTGGAAGTTATGTTTTCAATTTTAGGTCAGTTGTTTCCCTTCTTCTTTATGTTTGTGGTCAATGAAATTGTGAAATAACATCAAATATTCCCATTGCTTTTGATTCACTAAGTTACTAAGTTACAATGTCATTCAGAGGCACACGCTATTGGAATGATCTACCCCTATCTGTACGGGAGAAAGCATCAGTGTCTTGCCTTGGTAGAACTGTAATATCACAAATGTTAATAAAATAATTTTGTTAAATTTTGAACCAAGGTTCTTGCCTTTTTTGTAAATAATTATGTTATATAATTCTTTATCTTTTATTTAGTGTAAAATACCAAAGCTTTGTTTTTAATCACAGAACATATTTACCCTAGATGTAGAATAGCTTGTAGCTTAAGTATGTATTCAATAGTTATTCATATTTATATTTTATTCATTACATTCTCATTCATTGCTTTGATACTATTGTGTGTTAGATGTACGAGACACGATTAGCATTAAATGCTATTTCTGGTCCCATTTATCCTTTCTTTCAATGTTAACCATTGACATTTGATGGTTATATTGATGTACTTTTATTTGGATAATAAATTTCAAACTCAAACTCAAACTATACCCCACCACTATAACACAGGAACCAATGTAAGGCCAAATAAAAAACAAACATGTTTAGCGTCCTGTTTTTTCGAAAAATAGGAAGGAGGAGGCCCTTTTTATTTTTATTTTTTTCTTTCAAAATGGCCGCTCGGTACATTTTCCCTGACAGTCGAGGCTATTTTTTTTCAAGATGGCCGCCGACAATTTTTTTTTTTTTAAATCAGAAATAGAGCCATTTTAGCAGTGTTTTTCATGTTTTTTTTCTTTCAAAAAAAAAAATAGGAGGCGGCCCCCCAAAAGGAAGCGGGCGGGGACGCTAAACATGTATATTTTTTTTGAATGGCCTCATCAAGTGGGGTATCCCTACCCCAATTTCGTTTCTCTCGTTAAAACTTTGACAGAGCCACTAATACCCCACCACTATAACACAGGAACCAATGTAATCAAGTCGGGTATCCCTACCCCAATTTCGATTCTCTCGTTAAAACTTGGACAGAGCCTTGCAGCTCTGCCTGAGAGATGGCAGCTGTACTCTTCATCATTTTACGTATTAGTGTAAACAAAATCTTACTGGGGCTCTGCCTGAAAGGAAATGAGAAGTAGGAAATATATATTTTACTTTTTTAAAGATATTTTCATGTCCAAAAGTCACTTATAATTTAGATGAAGACCATAATGAAAGTTCAAACGAAGCAAAATAACCCAGAATTGGCGATATAACAACAATTTTAATTGTGAAAATTAGCACTCTTTCTCCCTTTCTCTCTCCCTCTATCATGCTTATCTCTCTTTCCCTGTCCATCACCTCGCCAAGGTCTCGGCAGGGGGATTACATTGTCTAGCGCTAGTGATTACTTAATGCGTAGCTCTAGGAGTACTGAAAGTAAAATGGGGGTTTCAATTTTAAACAACGAGTTTTCGTCATGAGTCACCCCATACTACATTCAAGGCTAGATTAATTTTTCTCTACAAATCAATTCATATTTCTCTTCCTTCTTCCTCTTTTTTAATGGAATAAATATCGCACATACCATTAACAGTGGAGATAGACCTATTTAAGTTTCAACTATGTTTCTTATTAAAAAGTATAAAAAGCAGTCTAAAACAGATAAACGTGTATATTAAGACATCTCCAGGGAGACAGAAAAATTGTCATTTTAGGCAGTTGGTCTTTTTTGTACAGTTTCCTTTAGTATATGTCTCAATGAGGAACACCACGCCAAGGAAACAGAAAATGTGGCCTTTTACGTAAAGAAAGTCTTTCTATACTAATGGACACTGAAGCAGGTTTTACTGTATATTCAATTATATTTCCCAAAACTTAGGTGGAATGTAGAATATATTCTTTAACATTATTACTCACATAGAGTGAAATCTAAAAGAATATATTTGATGAAAGTTACCATCCACTGCATGATACATTATTTTCCTTCAGTTTCATGTTTTATAGGGAGAAACTTCTATACAGATGCAACTTTCCGGCGAGCCAGTATAGAAACAGCCAGTCCTTGATTATTATTAAAGCAGTCGATATCTCTTTTATATACCGAATTGACCCAAATATCTACCAAGAATTCTTACCTTATCCTTTTCTTGAGTAAAGATTGGTTAAAACATCACAGAAAATCTGAGACACTGTCTGTTAATCTTCGCTGGAAAAATGACTGAAAGTTTCAATCAATTGGGAATCGCAGACAAAAAGCATTGTATGGTGTCCGCGCTAGCACAAAGACAATTTTAACATGTAAACCAATGGGTATCACAGCAAAATTTTACTATTTTCATGGTAACCAGAATTTTGAGGGATCTCACTTTTGGACTATTGACCGTTATTGGCATTTTTCGTTTCTTTACGGGAACGGCTAAAAATCACGACTCCAATTTCTACCAATCAGATGGCTGGATTTTTTAAGTGAGGTATATAAATAGTGATTATTATCCTTAATTTATAGTCTCAGTATATATATTTTCCAGGTAATTCACATATTTCATGCGGTACATTTGTGTATACCTAGGTGTGTTTGTTTACTGATTGGCGCAGGCAATTGACAAAAATTATAAGGTTGGTAGAAGTCTAATCTTCATGTTAATTGACAAACCTGTGGCCTTGAATCATTACAGACGACAAGCGAGGCAGTGTGGTGGAGACCCTAAGCTTCAGAAACGAGCTTCAATGGGGAGGAGTCAAGGTGTTATGGGATGGGGAGGAAGAGGCTTCCGTCCACGCTCGTACGGAAGATGGTGTGATCGACATCAAATGTGAAGAGGCGGCTAAATATGGGCTCTACTATAAGGACCATCTAGCAAATTTTGGTGAGGAGAAGACTTGATTTTCCCTTTATTTTGGGTGGGCTGATTGGGGGGGGGGGGCATATCTATTTAAGCCTAAGTCCACAATGATATTGGATGTTCAGACCGAATTGTCCCCAATAGATTTAGAAGTAGTTATATAAAAGGCAAAAAGTAGTTGTTAAATTTGAGCTTGTATAGTTTAGTTTAGAAACTGAAATGTTTTGAATTTTCCAGATTCATTATAGTTCTATGCTGCATGATTTGTATCACAAATATAATCACTGCAAAATCTTAAGAATTCTCAAAAGTTTTATAATTAATGTTGCTGGTTTCACTGCATGTCTTTAATGGATAGATATATTTCCCTCATTAGTGCATCATTCTCTTTAGCTGTTCCCAATATTGATTTCAAATTATCAAGAAGTGTTTCTGATTTGGTAATGTGTTATGCTTCTCTTACATTTTACATTTTGAGTAGATTACAATTCTTGTATGATGATGAATGTAAGAGATTCTTGTTCATTCTATTTCTACTTATTTTAGGTGAGAGAAGTTTTAATGGTGTAGGCGACTTGGCTTCAGTCCTTATTGATGTTGATGAAATCAAACAGCTGCAAGAAGGACATGGAGACTGGATTCCACAGATGACAGATGTAAGTTAATCCCTAGATGTGCCCTCCTGACTTTTTTTTTGGGGGGGGGGGTGGGGGAGGGGGCAACCCTCCCTCATTCAATAAAGTTATTGATTTATGCTGAGTCGGCCATAGTAGTTCACAGCTGTTTTGTTACAAGGTTTTCCATCTGTTTAGCTATATATTTGTTAAAGTTTTACCATAAGCTACGGCATACATTTTCTGTATCAGGGCAATTGCCCCTTAGAATATGACCCCTGTATACCTCTCCACCCCCTTTTCCCAACTACACATGGACAGTTACTCTTGATAGGGTAACTACCTCTCATATGACAACTATCCCCATTAGACAATTAGACCCTGGACAACTACATCCTGTAAAATAATCCCGGGAAAAATAATCCTTAAGACTATCCCCCCCCCCCCGCCCTGAACAGTTATTCCAATGTGGTATCCCCCCTCCATCACCCAATTCCCCTTTTATATATAGTGTAAACATGGTGTAAGATGTTTATACTCATCAGGATGAAAGTAGCATGTTCACTCTTGTTTTGTCTGTTCACAGGCTCTACGACAGGTTGCCATCATTACTGCAGTAACTTACAAGGGTGATTGCAAACTCCATTTCCCAGTTCTAGGCCTGGATTGGGATTTCAACACAGAAGCTGTAACCAGGGTAGGCTATTAGTCATGACTAAATGATTGTTATTATCTTTATTTAGACATACTTGTAATTGGCTTCCCTTTTGCCTGAAAGGGGAAAAAAGGAAATTTAACTCTAGGACTTTTGCCCCCCCCCCCCCTGAGGCTCAAAAGATGCCAAATAACAAAGGACATATAGGACCTACATTTACCCTAGCTTGCATGTAAATGTATATATTGAGAACAGGGGAGGGGCCTATTAACAACTAAGGTTTCAGTTCTTATCTGTGGTTTGTATGTGAGCCCTCAATCTGGCTCATCTGGTAAATGCTTTTCTGACTGAGCCAACAGTGAACAACTTCAACATATACAGTAGGCTTGCGGGTGCACCAAGTGAGAGAGAGAGAGAGGATTGAGGAGTCTTGAAAAGGACTCTTGGTAATCTTTCTTGAGGATGTGTAGTCCTGAAAAGGACTGTTTGTGTAGTCTTGAAAAAGACTGTTTGTTATCTATCTTAGCTTATAGTTCTAAGGAGAACTATAGCGCTTGGAGAGGATAGTCAACCTGTTTGAAACGTCGAGCCACTCCCGCCACTCATCCTCTCCAAGCGCTATAGTTTTCCTTAGAACTATAAGCTAAGAAAGATAATTACCAACAGTCTTTTTTAAGACTACACAAACAGTCCTTTTTCAGGACTTCACATCCTCAAGAAAGATTACTGAGAGTCATTTTCAGGACTCCTCAATCCTCCTCTCTCTCTCTCTCTCTCTCTCACATGGTGCACCCGCAAGCCTACTGTATATCTACATTGCCATGCAAGCCGACACTTACAGGCAGCATCTAACTGATTATATAACAATGTTATGTAATCATCAAACATTTCACTTGCTTGAGTTGTAGAATCTATAGGAACTCTTAAGAGATAAAATTGTGTATATTTGTTTTGTGTGGCTCCATGTGTGCATTTATTCATCATGATTTCTCTTTGTTCTTGCCTGTACAGTTGGAGAAGTTTGGTACTGGAGACACAGTACAACTGATAGACGATGAGGAGAAAATAAAGAAGATTCAGCCTGGGCATGGAGACTGGAAAGAAGAGATGTCTCAGGTAAGAAGAAGTCTCATTAAAGGCATTGTTTAACTACCGTATGTTACTAGTTTTACAAATCTGAGATGCATGGCCCTACGTGTTATCAGTACCTGTAATATATGGTAAGATATGGTGTAATATTGAAGTCCTAAAAAAATTGTGCTTCAAAATGATCATGAAGTGCCTCAAAAAAGTACAAATCTTTGAGTGACCAGTTTTATTTTTTGAAACAGGCATGTCATTAGTCCACATGTGCCATTATGTATTAAAAATGTATACAGCCAATAGCATCAGATTTACCATATGGTTGTTGGGTTATTCTTCACAGGGAGAATAGATAGATTATTTGTTGGTGTTTTTGTTTGTTTTGAGAGGCAGGAGGTCTGCAGTAACAAGTATTTTTATTCTGTTTGCAGCCCACATTTGAAACTTTGGGAGCCTCTTTGTACATTGTCCTAGACCACCGTAATGTTGAGCCCTTCATTATATTTCATTTCATTTCATTTCATTGCATTTCATTTGTTTATTGTGTCCATATAGGAGAATTGTTTATATGCACATGAACAATCTTGCTTCAACATATGAACATAGGAACAACATATAATTGACATTCATTGGGCCCTGTTTTAGTATACATTTGATATGATATACATGGTCATGATGAATATACATTTAAATACTCTTTCTCCTTCTTCTCTCTTTCTTCTTAAAAACCCTCCATTTACTTTTATTCTTATATGCTCTAATGTGAAGTAGGTATTTTGTGTTAAAAATGATTTCTTGATATGGTATAACAGTAGGGGTACAACAGTAAAGTAAGTATACTGAAAAAATATTTACATATTCGTGTAACATGTCAATGAGGGTATTTTGCATGGTTTTCACATTCTCTTCTCTTTACTGGGTTTCATTAACAACTCTTATGGAAAGTGGAATGAATGAATTAATGCGGCGACTAGTTCTTGCTTTAACAGATCTCAATTTTGTTAGGGTGCGCTTTGACTTGTCTTTCCAAGACAGCTTATCGTCGATTTCTGTACCTAGGTATCTATAACATTCAACATTCTCAATGGTATCATCATTAAAGTATACAGGTCTATCAATGGGTTCAAAACATTTCTTTTGCCTAAAGTCAAAAACAATTTCTTTTGTTTTCTTTGAGGTCAGCAGTAAATAGTTTTCCCTACACCAATTTTCGAACATGAAATGGTAGCTCTGTACTCAAGTTCATTTTCAGTTTCAATCAATCCTACTATTACTGTATCATCTGCATATTTAAGTGTGTGAACAGATGGAGTATTTGATATACAGTCATTTGTGTACAGGGTACAGAGGGTCGCAGAGAGGACACACTCTTGTGGGGTACCAATTGTTGTGATAAGTTTGTCAGAGAGAACACTATTGACCTTGACCTTCTGTGTCCTTTCATGTAGGAAGTCTTGCATCCACAATATAAGAGATGGCTGAACTTGTAGATGTTGAAGTTTATGTAGTAGGATGAGGGGTTCTATAGTGTAAATGCCGACGAGAAGTCTATGAAAGTAATTGCTCTGGCATAACACCTTGCCTTATCTAAGTGTTCGTACAGCGTGTTTGTCAAGGTAAGAACTGCATCGGTAACGGAACGCTTCGCTTTATATGCAAACTTGTTTGGATCTAGTAACGAAAGAACTGAGCTTGTCAGCTTTTCAAGTACCAGTCTTTCCAGGCTTTTCATAACAACCGATGTCAGTGTGATAGGGCGAAAATCCCCATTCGCGCTGGGGCGATTGCTCTTGGGAACTGGCGTAACTATATCAGTATGTGATACATGTATGTGCTGTCCATTGTTTAGGATCTTGGACAAGAAGGAGCAGTCTTGACAGTCCAGAGCACAGGTGATATCAAGGTTTTGGTCAACGGTCATCCCTTGACATTACATCCAGCCTGTGTGACACTGGTTGAAGAAGCTGAAGAAAATGGGAGTTCTATTGACTGGGAGGAAGTACAGGAATGTAAGATCATTATATTCAGTATTTACTTCTAGATTGTTAGACATAAAAACCATACCTTAATATACATCAGACATTAAAATGGAATAGAAGTCACTCTTACCATATGTTATAGTGTAATCCAACTTCCAATATCTCTTTACATAAGTAATATTTTTATATCTAACATTTTGAATACAGTTTGAGTCAAAAAAAAGTTTACACCTAGAAAATTGCTAATTATTTTAAAACTCATCTATGAACAGTAAATTATGATACATCTTAAGAAAGAGTGTTTTATCCCAAATTGAATTGCGCCAAAGTGATGCCTACAGTATGCATCATGCTGGGATTAGCGGATGAGATAGTGAATTGATTGTATCAAATCAAATGCATTACATATGCTTTTTGCAGAAGGAAAGTCACACAAACACACACAGATGCGCGCACAAACGTTTTTGATATTTGATATTTAATATTTGATATATGTGGCTTGATTAATTTTGTTTGTGATGTTATTTGGATCTGCAAAGACTGAATTAATACCTGAATCCCAAATTTTTTATTCAAACATCACATAAGCAACTTTGGCGCAAGTCGATTTTTGCACTCTTGCAAACAACGCCTCCTGCTCATCCAAATGTGAAAACATACCACACAAAAATGATACCAAATGAATTGGGATAAAATACACTTTCATAGGATGTATAATAATTTACTATTCATATATAATTGAGCAATTTTCTAGGTGTAAACTTTTTTTTGACTCACAATGTATAGTAGACCAGTATTGGTAACAGGGCTCGGTTTAATGAATTTTACTATTTGTGAAGCATTTCACATCGTGAAAGTTTGGCAGAAGATATGAGACTGCCATATCTTATAAAAATGGATGCCAGAAGACATGAGACTGCCATACCTTATAAATATGGATGGCAGAAGCAAGAATGCATGGAATAGGTCCTCAAAAGAAATTCAGCTCTGCGGTATGATAACATTAGATGATAAATATAATTAATGGCCACGAAAGTAAGATCATATTGTATCAATTTGTTTTTCTTAATCAGCGATGTCGATGAAAGCGATGCAGGATGAAATGATCTTAGGTCCCATGGGTTTTGGTTTCTCGTCTATCAATTCTATGAAGGAAGATATCCTCAAGTTTGTACAGAACGCTCAAGACGGTAACCTGACAGGAGTCAAGGAAGCACTGGAGAAAAATCCAAGCTGGGTAAGTTCCTCACATTTTTATTACACTGATATTTGTTTCTGTCCCATGCAAGTACACATATTTCCATTGCCCTACATTGACAATAAAGATGAACCATATAGACCCAATAAACCTTATGAACATTTTTTACTCTTTATATGCCACTAATAATCTCCCTGTGCCATATTTTATTTATCTTTAGATAATTATACCAAAGCCTTCAAGATTATTTAACTTCTCCCAGTACAAGATTAATCTATATTGGTGTTATGAGGATTGTCATGGAGCTAATCAAGACCGCAAATTGGTAACTTTGCAAAGCCATTGTGTTGCAGAAAGAAATCCTTCTATCAATCAGAGCCTTTTTTGTTTGTGTGCAAAATTACATGTGTGGCAAATGAGTGAACGTGCAGAGAGGCAAAGACAGCAAGGGAAGTGTTAATATGAATGTCAAATACAATTTAACTTTAAGTACATGTACAAGCGGAGGGTAACCCGACACATGCTCCGCCGACGGTCGCTCCGCCGACATTTACTCCGCAAAACGCGACAATTGCTCCGCAGACAGTGGCTCCTTGGACAGTTGCTCCGACGACAATTGCTCCGCCAACAATTGCTCCGCCGACATTTGCTCCTGCTAACCTAACAATAGCCAAAACACTCTCAAATGGTGATGCAACAGGCATCATAATAACATAAAAACAATCCTACATATCAATTGTTGGATGGTAAATATCCATAACCCTTTGCTTACGGGAACCTGGTGGTCCCTCTGTTAAGCCTATGGGAACCTGGGGGTCCCTGTGTTAAGCCTATGGGACCTATACAATTCAGTAGTCAACGGCTTAATAACAATACAAATCTAGAAAGCAATAACAGCTCAAACAGGAAACCTATGATACATGTATCAAACTGCTCTGAAATAGAAAGTTTGCAAAAGAAGCTTTTACTTTCCCTGACATGCAATGATTGCTTTATAGTGTACATTATCTGGGACGTACAGTGATTGATGAAAAGTTATTTCAGCATATGCGAAATGAATTTTAGGCAACTCCTTTTTCTCCCACATCATCAAGATTCATTCATTTCATTTTATCTACATTATTTCATTAATTGCATTCAAAAAACGAAAAAAAAACTGTTAAAGAAATATAAAAAAATAACCCATGAATAAAAAATATTATCGGCGAAGCATTTATTTTGTCGTAGTACAAGTAGCATTTTTTTTACGGGGAACTTTGGGGGCGTCGTCGGAGCAATTGCCGCTTCATGCGGAGCAAGTGTCGCAGGAGCAATTGTTGGCGGAGCAAATGTTGGCGGAGCAATTATCATCGGAGCAAATATCGGAGGAGCAATTGTCGGCGGAGCAAATGTCGGTGGAGCATTTGACGTCGGAGCAAATGTCGCGGAGCCAATGTTCGCGGAGCAATTGTCTCATTTTGCGGAGTAAATGTCGGCGGAGCAATCGTTGACGGAGCATGTGTCAGGGATTCAAGCAAAGACCATAATATTACACCTATATTCTACAGCTGGCTCCCTCTTTTGTTTTGGCAAATGAGGGCAAGGAGTTAACCTTGTCACTTTACAAAACACAAAACATTTTTTGAATGAATCAGAGAAACTTTAGCTTCTCAATGGAATAATTGACGTGCCAAAAACTTATTTCCTCATGTCTTTTTATGCCTCCGCCACCGAAGGTGGTGCCGGAGGCATCATGTTTTCGGGTTGTCCGTCCGTACGTCCGTCCGTACGTCCGTCCCGTTTGACTGTTATCACAATATCTCAAGAACCATTTAAGATTTAAACTTAAGACTCGGGAATAGTATTTATCACCATTGGAAGACGATCTGATTAGATTTTGGAGTACGTAGGTCAAAGGTCACAGGTCACAGAGGTCAACTTATGAAATTCCTTGTATTGAGTTTGTTAGCGCGATATCTCAAGAACCATTTGAGATTTAAACTTCAAACTTAAGGATAGTATGTATCACCATAGGAAGATGATCTGATTAGATTTTGGAGTACGTAGGTCAAAGGTCAAGGGTCAAGGGTCAAGGGTCAAGGGTCTGATACGTATCAGACATCTGAGCTGGTCATTTACAAAACCGTATTGCCCTAGTTTTCACTAGCAGTGGGAACGGAGGGGTATATTCTTTGTATTTTCCTTGGTCTCCCTGCGCGTATTCACTTTGCGTGTAGAGACGAGTGAAAATATACCTTGGTATTTTCCACGGTCTCGCATTTTCATTGCGCATCTATTAATATTATGCGTACGAGAACCTGCGCACTTTGCGCGCACTCTATTGTGACGTAATAATCACACCAAATACACACTGTTTGTAGTGTATCGAAAATTTTGTCGAGCACTGGATGCACAGTGTTGGTTTGACAAAGTTTGTTCAGTTCTTGAGATTGTCATGGTGGATGTCTCTATTTGCTCTAGATGTCTGATTTGGATAACAATAAAAATATTGACTGGCTTTACTTTCGGGGGATATCAGAAATATTGACCGCGCTAAGACCATATTGCCCTCGTCTTTCGACTCGGGGCAATATGATCTGAGCTTGGTCAATATTTCTGATATACCCCTCAAGGCCAGTCAATATTAAATAATTATTACCCGTATCAGACATCTAAGCGGGTCATTTACAAAACCGTATTGCCCTAGTTTTCACTAGCAGTGGGAACGGAGGGGTATATTCTTTGTATTTTCATTGGTCTCCTTGCTCGTATAGACTTTGCGTGTAGAGACGAGTGAAAATATACCTTGGTATTTTCCACGGTCTCGCATCCGGACATCTTGTATTGACCGCGCCGTATTTTGTCATTTCATTGCGCATCTATTATGCGTACGAGAACCTGCGCACTTTGCGCGCACTCTATTGTGACGTAATAATCACACCAAATGCACACTATTGTGACGTAATAATCACACCAAATGCACACTGTTTGCAGCGTATCAAACACTTTCTTCAAGCACTGGATGCACAGTGCTGATTTGACAAAGTTTGTTCAGTTCTTTGAGATTGTCACGGTGGATTTCTGTAATTGCTCTAGATGTCTGATTTGGATAACAATAAAAATATTGACTGGCTATACTTTCAGGGGATATCAGAAATATTGACCGCGCTAAGACCATATTGCCCTCGTCTTTCGACTCGGGGCAATATGATCTGAGCTTGGTCAATATTTCTGATATACCCCTCAAGGCCAGTCAATATTATATAAATATCCAATTAAAGAGCAATACAAATCACCTAGATATATTATTAATAACAGATTGTTATTATTATTATAATATTAGTTTCCAATTCATTATGACATGTTCCTAGGACCCAACATGTATTATGATTTCCCTTTATGCTCTCTTCATCCTCAGGTGAACATACAGGTGTCCCACATGGCTGCAATTCATCATGCCTGCAGTTCTGGTCAGCTCGAGGTCATCAAGTATCTCATCAGCAAGAATGCATCGATAGAGGCCATAGATGAGACAGAATTCCATCCGCTCCACTACGCTGTAAGATCGTAAGTATATTAAGCTTTTGTAGAGGTGTTGTGGTCTGGTTGGTGAGTCATCAGACTGTGGATCAAATGTTTTGTGGTTCGAGTCAAGCTATGGCGCCAATGTTCTTTGGCAAGACATTTACCTGTATTTGCCACTCTCCACCCAGGTGTGAAATGGGTACCGGTAGGAAGGAATTCCTTGAATGCTGTGAGAACCCAAAATTGGTAGCCTAGCAGAGCTGGAAAATATTGGAGTGCCTTGAGCACCTTGCGTCGTGGATATGTACGCTATAGAAATATCCATTCTTATTATAATGCCTCTGCTACGAAGTAGCCGGAGGCATTATGTTTTGGGGTTGTCCGTCCGTCCGTACGTCCCGAACTCATGATCGCGTTCGCAAGAAACGATTGGTTGATTCCGCCAAACTTAACCCTATTTAGCCCGGGCTATTTTAAAACTGCATAGCCCGAGGGAGGGGGGGGGGGGCTTCTAAGGCCCCCCCCCCCATGATCTCGTCCATGAAACGACCGATCGCCGCGAAAATTTGCATACATGTCAAGTGATGTGTATAAAATACTATGGTAATTTCAATTTTTTGAAAAATTCACTCATTGGCATATTTATGGTAATTTATGCAAATAAGGTCATCAAATTCACATTTTTGCCCATAAATCAGACATTATTCATATTTAAGCATTCTTTCTCACTACATATATTTGTTAGACCATTTGGAATAATAATACAACACAAAAAATTGAAAAACCAGGATTATTCCTTATGTTATCTATTGTTTTGATAATTTCTTATGTATTTCTTTGTTTTTTTAACTTATGTATTATATTGTTTTTGTTTTTTTATTTCATTTCCAACTATAAAACAACTTTTTTGACCCCAAAATAAACACCTTAACTATAAACAAGACCAAATAACCAATGTTTTATCTCTTTATTTGAAAAATGAGATTTCCATATGTTTTGTACACAAATCACGAAAATGCGCGATTTTCGGGCTGACATGCAAAGACAAAAGGACACGTGACTTTGTAATGGTATGTCCGATTTTCGAAAAATTTCTTTCAAAAGATGCGCAAGACTCAAAAGAAAAAAGTCACAAAATTTCAGTGCAAGATTTTCTTGCGTTAAAAAAAATTATCGCGAAAAATGTCGAGGGGGGGGGTTTAGAAGCCCCCCCCCCCCCCCGGGCTAAATAGGGTTAAGTCATATAAAGTATCTCGCAGAGCCAATGAACTGATTAGATTTTGGGGTCACGAGATCGAAGGTCAAAGGTCACAGGGCTCATTATGTATGTAAAAATAGCTCTTGATCGCGTTATCTCAAGAACCGGTAGATGAATTCCTGCCAAACTAATAAGTCATGTATGTATCTTACAGAGCCAATGAACTGATTAGATTTTGGGGCCACAAGTTCAAAGGTCAAAGGTCTCAGGGCTCATTATGTATGCAAAAATAGCTTGTGATCGCGTTATCTCAAGAACCAAATAATGGATTACAGCTAAACTCAGATCATGTAAGTATCTTGCAGAGCCCCTGAGCTGAATGGATTTTGGGGTCACGAGGTCGAAGGTCAAAGGTCACAGGGCTCATTATGTATGCAAAAATAGCTTGTGATCGCATTATCTTAAGAACCAATTGATGTATTCCTGCCAAACTTGGGTCATGTATGTATCTTGCATGGCCAGTGAACTGATTAGATTTTGGGGTCACCAGGTCAAAGGTCACAGGGCTCATTATGTATCCACAAATAGCTTGTGATCGCATTATCATGAGAACCAATAGACAGATTACTATCAAACTCAAGACATGTATATGTATCTTGCAGAGCCCATCAACTGATTAGGTTTTAGGGTCATCAGGTTAAAGGTCATGTGGCTCATTATGTATGCCTATAAATAGCATGCATTATCATTAAATCCGACAGATGGATGACAATTAAACTTGAAATTTAAAAATTGTTTCTGATTTGGTTTGTAAAATGCTTTACGGCGGAGGCATCATTCTCGACTGCGCGCAGTCTAGTTCCATTTAGTTTTTATCATGCCTCCGTTACGAAGTAGCCGGAGGCATTATGTTTTTGGGTTGCTGAGCCAATGAACTGATTAGATTTCGGGGTCATGATGTCAAAGGTCAAAGGTCATGGGAGTCATTATATTTTTATTATTATTATTTATATGTATCTTGCAAAGCCAATGAACTGATAAGATTTTAGGGTCATGAGGTCAAAGATAAGAGGGTCATACATGTATATAAAAAATAGCTTGTAATCATGATATTCTGAAAACCTGTTAATGGATTACAATTAAACTTGAATTCTGTTTTGGTTTGTGAAATCGCTCCTGGTGGAGGCATCATTTTGGACTGCGTGTAGTCGAAGTTACATCTAGTTTAGACATGAATTGATAATAAATGATAGAATAATGCATGCCTATGAGTATAGACTGTTCCTTTTGAATTTCATTCAACTGTTATTGACTATGTAGGAACAAGCTGAAGGTGGTGGAGTATTTATTGCAGCAAGGAGCCTACCCTAGTTCAGTGAGTAAAATATGGTTGAGTCCTCTACATCTGGCTGCTGCCAAGGGTTTCACAGATTGTGTTGCAATCCTCCTCAAACACGGATGCAATATCAACATTCAGGTACAGTAAGAATGAATATTTATTACAGGATCACACTTATTGGTTGTCCTTACTATTTTTACATTCAGTCTCTCTCTTCTCTTCATCGGTCTTTCCTTTTCTTTTCCTTACTTTTTAAATTTCTATTTTGACCCTTTTTCGGTACCCTTTTTATGCCTCCGCTACAACGTAGCCGGAGGAATTATGTTTTCTGGTTGTCCATTCAAACGTCCCGTTCTTGTGATTGCGTTATCTCAAGAACCGATTGATGGATTCCTGCCAAACTTGGGGCATGTATGTATCTTGCATAGCCGATTAACTGATTAGATTTTGAGGTCACGAGGTCAAAGGTCAAATATATTCTGAGCACCTATTAATGGATTACAATCAAACTTGAGTATTAAAAATTGCTTCTGTTTTGGTTTGTAAATGGCTTTATGGCTGAGGCATCATTTTCGACTGCGTGCAGTCAAAGTTTTCCTATAAAAAAAACACAGAAAATGCAATAATTTTTCAATAATTTATTGCATTTAACCCTAAAATAAAAAAATCCTCTGTGTGCCCATGCCTTGAGCCATTATGCATGGCCATCCAGAGGATTTGGACAGGGGTAAAATGGAATAAATTATTGAAAAATTATTGCATTTTCTGTGTTTTTTTCATTTATGGAAACTGCCCCCTTCCCTAGCCCCCACTGCGTACAGTCATGGTTCAGTGACAAAGCAGTGGCCTCGTAACTGTGAGGCCCCAGGATCAAAACCGTGTTGATGTGCTATTTTAGTGCCCTTTTGTGGGGCATTAATCCTCAGTTCTGTCATTTATGACTTAAGGGCATAGGTCCCCTATTTGATAAGCACAGTAGCATACACATGCTTTAGCAGTCACGCAAAACACACATTGTCAAATTATTATTCAATAAAATCTGAGAATGTATACTATTATCAAGATCTATTGTTATTAAATTATTTTTAAAAAAATTACATAAATTGGGGTAAAACAAAAATATTCCAACTATATGAGTGACAGTGAATGAGAATTAATAAATCCATTTTTGTTATTTGTTCATATTTCATTTAAGTTATCAATCTTGGTCCAAATAATAGTAAATAATTCTTCAAATGATGCATAGTCAATATTCACTTCAAAATGCTGATTATATTCAGAGGATTTCATTTTTGGGGGCCTGTTAAAGGGTCATCCTGCCCAGAAATAATGTCCCAACTTTCAATTTTTCATCATATCGAATTGAATGATGCAGGCGAGACCGCCGAGAGCATGTCCCTTGTTTATTTCCCTATAGTATGTTGGTATAGTATTAATTGTAATGTGTTGTTATATATATTTTGTTTTGATTTGTTAACAAATTGTACAATTGAGCCTAGGCTGCGAGACAGATTTGGAATAAAATTACCATTACATAAAATATAATAATATATTGACGAAATGTGACATCACAAATTTGGTGAGTTTCAGTAAAATTCCAAAGGAAGAGTGTCTTTCCTCTCAGTTCACATGCAACACTACATCGGGAAGGTGTCTATTTTCTTAGTTGTATGTGTTGTAATCACTTTGGCACAATTCTAATAATAATAATAATAACTAGAAATTTAATTCGTCATGGGGACGAATTAGGTGGTCTGTTTTCAATTTTATGATCATAGAAAAGTCAAAAAAGAAAAAAAAAAGAAAAAAAATTGTTGGAGACTCCCGGACTCGAACCAGGGATCTCGAGGTCCAAAGTCAAGTGCGTTACCGATATACCAAAACATTTCCCATAGCGATTACACGTAAACGGAAAATGAAATTCTCAAACCCACTTTGCAAGTGAAATATGAGCATGATCCCGGCATCTGATCGAGAAACAAATGGCACACTTGTGATAGCTTATTCTCCCAGCTACAACATACTCGATGCTCAGCGAAAACGAAGCTAAGACGACGGAGATATTGCTCGTGAAAGACGGGAATGTAGAATCCAGTTTTCAGAAAAAGTCATGTCCCGTAGAGAATACACGCAAAATGTAAAAAATTGACATGCCTCCTTTAATCGCAAAAATACGCCATGATACTTTCGTTAAAATGAAAATTCGGGATTACTGTATCTGTAGGAAATTGTCTCAGCTAAAACATATCAAAATTTGGATGAAAATTGATCAATATTTACAGAGATACAATCAATTTTCCAAAAATATGATGACGTCATAATATGCAAATTTAAATTTTGAGTTCGGAGGCCATTATGATGACGTCATGAGTTAATTGAGGGTCAAATGAGACATGAAATCATATCTCTAATTCATACTCTATCAAAATATGAAAACAAAATTGGGTTCATCTTGCATCCTAACGCGCTACAATGGATTTTGTATAGGCATGTTTTTGCCCATGTATGCTATGTATTACAAGAGCTCGCACGCACGGACATTATCTTAAACGGACGTTCATTCCGTTATTAGAGGGCAGAATAAGGTGAACAAGGTATCAAAATGCTTGGAAAAATGTGAAAAATATGATGACATAAAAAATTTGACGATTTTATGTTGCAAAATGCCATTACGCGCGAAAACGCGCGCGCATGTGCGTGTGCGAGTTTTTTTGTGAAATGCTTAAAATGGCCTCAAACGTATGCAAACAAAATTTGACACGATTTTGAGCATTTTTATTTTTTGCGCGCGCGCTGACGCGCGGACGTACGCATGCGCGCGCGTTTTCTGACCTGAAATTGACCGGACAGATATTGACCTTAATCATGATAAATATGAACAGAAAATGCCTTTCCGTTATGAAGATATGATCCTGAGTAAAAAGTACCAAAAAAAACACAAAATGGCGCCTGGATGACGTCATGAAGATTTGATGACCTTGAAAATGTTACTGTCACGTCTTATGACAATGTCCTATGACTGTGCCAAATTTGAAAGAAATTGACCAAACTGATCTTGAGTTATCCTCTACACAAAAAAGTGCGGAAAATAAAAATAAATAAATAAATAAAGAAATAAAGAAATAAAGAAAGAAAATTCTGACGAAAACAATAGGTGATCTGTCGTTGACAGACCACCTAATAATAATAATAATAATGGTGATTTACCACAATTAATCAATGTATCTACCTATTATTTGCTATTTTATCTAAACTACGCCACCATCAAGAGCTTAGAACATCACATTCGCACATGCCCCGCCCCCAATACATCGCCTTCACAGGTTGCACGTGCTCAATGCACACCCGCCATTCACCCTCTTTCTATTCTTGCTTGCCGGGTTGAACGACATACAGCTTAGTCACTGCTTTTGAATTAAGGATTTTGTCCTACGTAAGGCTTAGTTAGTTATACGCTTTTAATTCCGTCCTCATTTTAATTACTATTAATTTGCCAGTACGGGTTAGCGGTCACATATTTTTTTTTAAGGTGGAAATTTGACTTTCATTTCTGCCCTGCAATTTCCACTTTCGCGACCGCTTTTGCAAACTTTGTTATGCCGCTGGGTTAAGGCGTTTGGTTGGGATTTTTACGTATGGTTAGGCGATTAATTTATTCCCCTGCCTAATGCTACGTTTACACTATGTTCCCGGCAGCCACGGCACACAACGCGGGGGACCATATGGGCAAACGTGACCGGCCGTAATTGCCATGGATATCGTGTCAGTTTTTTTAAACTGTCAAAAAATTTGCCACGGCAGTCACGGTGCGGATGAGAAACCTAGTAGGCCGTAGTAAAACTGGGTGAACGTAACAAAACGTGACAGTCCGTAATATGCCGTAACAAAACTTGGAGGTGGTCCGTAGTGAGACGGGAGGCCCGCAAATTCCCTGGCATCTTACGGTCTTTTCAAGTTATTTCAGGTTCTGCCATGTTTTGTCACGGTTGCTTCACGGTTGCTGCACATTTTGTCCCGTTTTGCCACGTTTTGCCACGGTTTGCCATGGTTCTCACGGTAGGCTAGGGTGTACGGTAGCCGGTTTGTCGCGTTGAATCACGGCGCATCCCGGCGTCTGACAGTCGTCTCCCAGGATGAAGTAAGGTATGTCCTGGTCCTGGTCATCGTTAGGCAGAGGGCATGGTGGTGGCAACCCTAATCGACCTTCTTCAAGAAGTTCACTGAGCTCTGAGTCATCATAGATTTGGGCATCAGACATGTGTCCCACTCCACAAACTTCAATCCATATAAAACGATACAGGGCATCCACCAAGGCGAGGAGAGGGATACTAAAAAAAGCCCTTGTAGTTGTGGTACAAGGAGCCTGTGTTGGGTGGCTAGCTGATGGCAATATGCTTCCCATCCAGAGCTCCCACCGCATGAGGCACATACCACTTGTCTTCAAACTCCTGGGCAATTAGGGCTCTCCACTCATCGGGCGTCACATGAACGGCGAACACTTCGTCCTTGTAGGCTTCCACGATGGCCTTGCACACTTCTAGCACCATATGGCAGATGGCTGCTTTACTGCACCGGAACGTATAGGAGAGTGACAAGTAATTGTCCAGTGGTCAGATGTCTCAGAGTCACTGACAGCTTAGTCCAGGTGGTAGTGCAGAGCGGAACTTAGTGTCATGTCTCTCGATGGCTGGTGTTACTCTTTCCAGGATCTCATCGAAGAGCTCTGGAGGCATCCTCAGATAGTTCTGGAAGGCGTTGGTATCTTTGGTGTCGAGCTCTCTGGTGAGAAAGGTTGAGTAGTGACCCAGTTGCTGCCTTCTATCTTCCGATAGCCATTTGCGCACCCACATGGATCTTGGCCTTCTCATCCGCCTTCTTCGCCTTCTTCCTGCCTGCTTACTCTGGCATTTCCTCTCAGCAAATGCTACTGACGCAAAGACTGGATGTACATGTATGCACCCAGCAAACATGCAAACACAAGATCTTCTTCATCGTTGGCATTAATGATGTTGTCTTGTCAAAAATCTCAGGATACAGTGATTGCTAATATGGCTTGGGAGGCCTTCCTTTTATACCTTGGGCACAATCGTGCTCCAAAGCTGCCCGGCGTCCACGTTTCATCCGTAGAAAGCCTTGAC